CCATAGGTTTATTTCAAAGATGCAGAATCATAGTTTTGCATTTGCCTGGTTGACACATGTGCAACTCTGATGTGCATAGGACATTAACTCTGAGAATACGGTCTCTGGGGAATCCGTTACTCTGCAGGCACACACAATTTAAGGCAGGTGTAGTGTTAAGTGAAGTGAAGCTAAAAGAGACTGCTTGTACAAGATTGTCTTGCGATACTAGCCCAGAAAAAGGAACCATGATGTTGGCTTAATAGAAACACACTTTATTGATGAGTTTTCTTTGCCTCGGTATGAGCAAATATATGAGTCTTTTACTGTCTTCTATTTAATAGCAGCATCATGCACACAGTTCTGCTGTTAATACTGCAGCGATGGCATATGTTTGGGGGTAAATAATCTGCCTGTTTACAGTGCCATTAGGAAACCGCTGACTCCACCAGTTCACAGGCTCATTTAAACCTTTCTCTGCTTCCGACTTGCTGAATATTTGGTATTCAACACCCTGCAAGTGACTTCCTGCAGCCTCCGTAACACAGGTTGTTGGGTTGCTAGGGAATAACTCTCAAGAGGTTCAGAGCCCTGCAGTCACCTTGATGTCAATGCCAGTGATTATCTGCGCTAATTTTCTGCTTCGTGTTTCATATCGGAGCACTGACCAAAGCTTATGTCTGTCCCTTGGCATGCATAAGTGTGAACGATTCTGGCTGTAGATACAGAGAAATACTGGTCACTTTCACAGTATAATCTCTTCAACATATTATTACAAAAGAAACATCATCATTCAACTTAAAAAAAAAAAAAAAAAAAAGGAATGAAAAAGAAATAGCCAAGTGAGATCAGTTGGAACAACAGAAGAGGATATTTTTCTCTCCTAGGTCATCCAGTTTGGGTTCTTTTCATTGTCATTGATTCACAGCCTTTTCAGTACACACAGGACAACTGCTTCACAGCCAAGAGGACTAGGAACTGCCTTTATAACACCCCAGACCTCTAAGGGTCCCACATGATGTCTTGCATCCTTGGGCTGTTAACTCAGCAGTCACAGTGAAGGTCTGGGGTGAAGAAGCATGTTGCCTCTGTGTTGCCTGTGCTGCCACAGCTGCAGGTAGAACTTCAGAGAAGGAAAAAGAGAAGCGGATCATGGATATAAAGAAAGACCCACATCAAGATTTCCTAAAGCTTTAAACCCACCCTCCTTTACCTGTATTATTCCATAAGGGTCAGCCCTACAGATAAGGTCCTACAGTACTATTCCTCTTCTGTTATTTTAATAGATAGCACGGAAGGATAAATGTCTTTCCTCCATGACCAAGACTTGAATTCCATCAGCTTTCTTCAAGGACACTAAGTAATGGGAAAGGGAAAAAGGAACTGAGCCCCTTGTTCTGTTGAGAGCTCGTAACAGCCCATCCACCTCTAGTACCTCTGGGTGCTCTTCCTACCTTGAGGGTCAAGTAGCTGTTGCCACGTCTTTGCCAGGGGTCCCAGGTAAGGAGTCCCTGTATGTGCAGAACTGGCTCTTTCCACTCCATGTAAATGGTACTTCCACACAGAAATGCCTTTTGTCAGTGCAGAGAGATCCCAAATGGTCTGTGGGGAAAGCAGAGATTCCCTCCCCACCTCCTGCTGGAGTCCCCAGCACCCATATCTTGGGATATGGGGCTTAATTAACAGGGATGCCCTTGAATTGTGACAATTCCATTTACAATAAACTCACACTACGATTGTAAGCAAATCAGTTCCTGTTAGCTTGTCAATTGTGCTAGCAGGTTGCACTGTTAAAAGCCACAGTGTTTGCATCTCATATCCCAGCCATGGAGTCAGGAACCTTTGAGCAGAGAGATGGATAAGAAGGACAGTTAGATAATGTTTGCTGCAGCTAAAGCCATGTGTACACCCATTTCAGAGACGGACTGTCATGCAACATACAGAACACCTGCAGTTACCTCTTATCTTGGTAGCAATGGACACTGCTGAACTAAACCATGAAAAATGCAAAGCACCTTAAGGTTAGAGGCAACATCTGTAGCAGAGCTGTTTAGATAGCTTCAGCTGTAAAACCCTATATGGAAACCACTGGGATTTCTCTGGGTGAAAATTAAAGACATAGTAACAGCATCAGATACTTCTGAAGCAATGAAATATTTTTAAAAGGTAGTATAAGCAACACATAAAAATTTACAAGAATTCATAGATTACACTGCTATAAGATAACCTGACTCCAAAATGTGCCTTCTGCTTTTTCCTGTTCTGGTCCCACAGATAAGCATTAGACCTGTGGGCTGAAGCTGTCATTTGCAAAGCTGAAGGAACATAAAGAACTGAGTTCAAGACAGACATTACCTGAACAGGGAACAGAGCTAAAGAATTAAATTCTTAGGGGCTGACTGATGTGCAAAACTGCTTCTCTCAAAAGAGGAGTATTATCTAAGATTTACACTAAATTTAAAAATATTCTGCATGAAGAATGCTGTATCACAGGATCTCGTTAGTGGTACAGTGACAGAGCGAGAGCAGAAGGTATGGAAAGAGAGAAACAATTGGTTGCCACACCAGAAACCCTTCCCTGTATTTCCCTACCCAAAACCTCCACTGCCTGTGACTACCCTCACCTGAGGAACCTGTGAGCCTTTCCCAACCACTTGACGCTCTCTCAAGCCTACTGATGTTTTTCACTAGCACGTTCAGATCTCTACCTGAGCTGTCTCTCCTTCCTGTGCCCCAGCAGCGCCACCATTCCGGTGGATGGCATTGGGTCGTGGCATTTGTACTTGAAAAGCAAGTTCCACACTCTGAAATTCAAGTGAAGGGCCAGAGGTCCTTGCTTTATCCTATGGGCCTGAGTAGAGTTGCCACAGAAGAATGCAGCTGCCCTTCAGCCTTACTCTAGCTGGTGCAAAGTGAATTATTCTTCACCAACTTCATGGTCTTCAACCTTGAAAAACTGAATTTATCTGGTCTTTATGCAAATTAAATTAATGTCACTCCAGGTGAAAGGTTTCATGTGACAGGCTGTTTAAATAGCATTTTTTCTTCAAATTATCTGTTATCCTCTACTTAAAAACACAAATTGAATATTAAGTATGGGCTTACTGCAGCTATTAATCATTCAGCTAAATAAAACCACTAGCAAACTGTGAATAGCTGTAAAAAAAATGCTTTGCTACCTGCTACCCCTTAGTTCCATGTAGGCTGGCTACAGAATGAAAGACAAAATAAGAGCTGTCGCATAGTTTAAGGAAGATTTTACTACTGCTGTGTTAAGGTAAGATACAACAACATGACTGCTATACAAGGTCTAGATATGATTACTTCATGTTATTTTGCTTCCTTTGTGGCACGCAGCTTACCTGCTGCTGGGTGCTAGTCTCTCAGTGCTGTTTCATTAAGTAAGTGTTTCACGTGAAACGCATACAGGGCTTGCTTTTTACAAATAAATTACCAACAGGACTCCAGTCCACTTTCACACCTGGTGAGTCTCATGATCTTCACTGCTGGTCTGTGGGCAGACAGTACAACTTACCCTATCGCTTGCACTTGGGCACTTGCATCCGAGGCAGATGTGGCAGAGGTGGAAATTGTCCCTTGACCTTCTGCTTCTTTAATGGATGTTTTTGCCAGTTGCAGACAGGGAAATTGCAAGCCTTCAAAATCAAAACACTGGGATTAAATGATTACTGAGGTAATTTAAGCTTGCTAGCTCTTATTTTTTCCCCCTTTTAAGTGGCCA